TTTTCAAATATACTTTATTTCAGACACATGTGTTTACCTACAGACAGCAACAAACTCGCTTGTCCACGACATTCACTCGAATGAGCTTTTAGTTACATCTTCTTACCGCGTGAGGCAAATGTATTTCGTTATATAATTCCTATAGAATTCGTTGTTTATACAACTTTAAAATCTAATTGTATATACCACGTTCTTAATTGTTACATCGAAATGATCGCAATAGTAACACAATAATGACTGCGGTAGAACTAATATTATGAGAAATATACATTGATAGCTTAAAATTCTCACAAACGTAGTATCAAACATGGCCGCTGTACATCGAGAAGCTATCCAAAAGCAAATTCAGCAAGACTGGGCAAATCGGGAATATATTGAAGTTATAACTGGTAGCATTAAAAAGATCACCGATTTCCTTAATTCCTTTGGTAATATATTACAAATTATTATATGCGGTATTCGAATACTAGGACTGCCACTTTTTGAAACAGATTATTTTGTAAAATATAAAGTTATTGCAATTCATTTCATGATGTGATCGTTCAAATTTTTGTCCGATCGAATAATTGGATTCGTGAAATGATATTTGAAGTTTTTCAAATGTGCTTTAATTGTTGAGAGTTGTCTTTAACTTTAGCAAAATTAGTCATTGCTGTTCACGGTACGATTGTTATTTGATTATTGCTAAGAAGTAAAATCAACATTTGAATTGAAACGCATACTGACATGTAAAGGTAATTGAATTATTTAAAACTGATTGATGCAAATATTCGTAGATATGTCTTGCAGATCAAGAATAGCTGTTCTAAACGAAAAGCTGACTACACTTGAAAGAAGAATTGAGTATCTGGAAGCATGTGTGAGTTACCATTCGCTTGTGCACTTACATTTTACATAAATCAAGCGTATAGCCATAATTTATATTATTGCTCCTCGTATAGGTCACAAAAGGAGAAACGTTAACCTAAATTGAATATTGCCAACAGAAGTATTTCTAGGACTATAAGATTTTTGTATTTAACAGGATTATCTATGAATAAATAAACAATAAAGACAATAACAATATTTTTTATATTTAATTCAGGTTCTACAATTTATACAATCTTTAGCAATATTTGAAGTTTTCATACTAATATCTGAATACACCCCGCCATTTCCAAGTGTGCTGAAATATATCTGAAGTATATTCTCTATCTTTGGGTAATGGTTTATATGGCACCAATTTATATATGCATGCTGCGACTAGAAATGGATATGTTAAATGAACCATAATTGGCAAAGGCAACTTGAACCACCTATGTATTATAGGCGCTGCAGCAAGTACTGTAAGATAAAAACCATATTTTCATAAATTCAAATTCAAACATAAATAATTTTATAACATGGAATAATTAACATGAGAAAATTATTTACATACCTCCAAGTTGATAATTGATACAATCATCTTTTCCTCTGAGACGGGTAGAAATGAATACCGTTGAACAAAACATAAAACCCACAGCAACTCCCGGAACAGTATAACGTATTATTCGATGCGCACATTCAGAGATTGTCTGGATATTGTGTCGCAAACATATATCGTTAAGTGCAATTACTACTCCTCCAATAGCACCGTATGACGTGCATTTTTTCAATTTATATAAACCATCTGTTCCATCAGGTTTCTTAAACAAAAAAATTTGTTATGCTTGCAATATTTGTAAAAATTAGTAAACAGCGTTTCAGAAACATTGTTGTACTAAGATGTTTTGTTTTTTAGCAATAACTTCAAAGCCATCTGCAAAATTTAATTTCTTAATACGATATGCAATGAAATATAAACTTGAACAATGTAATGATACTACAAACATTCATGCTTTAGTAAATAAATAACTATAAATATGAATGCATACCCCGTTCATTGCAAATAATTGAATATATTCTTTCTCGTATCACACCGTGTACGTCAGATGATGTATATTATTATGTAACATAAACTACTTCTGTCATAGATTTACAACTGTGCTTTTATATTATCGGGATTATATATTCATTATATATTTATTTTATATTTATTATATATTTATTACTTATTTATTTACTCTATAGAAACATATTACTATTTCCTGAAAGTTTTTAAGAAAATCTGTGGAAGAAGAAATGCGAGATTCTGACGTTCCACGAGGATTCACTTTCCGATATACCAAATTACTCTATGGAGGAAGAGTAAAAACAATATTATCCCTAGGAAAATATGTGATATATATTTTCGGAGATAATTATCATTATTTAATAAGTATTATCGGAATGTCTAATAAAAGTAATTTAAAATATTTTACGATGCCTAACAAACTGAAAAAATTGCTTCTGTGATGCACATGCATTACATTCGTATTGTAGTGACTTTCATGTAGTACGTATGTCCACCTGTATGGAAGCGATGGAACTGTCCTTGGTCGGACTAAGTTCAGGTTATAAGTATATTATTATATAAATATTAAAAATTAATTATTATTTTTCATATAAAGCTGATCATTGTCAGCTTGCAAAAGAAGATGTTACGCCCAATTTCAAGTAAAATTTTCTCAGAGGTATGCACTAAACTACTTAAACTGTAACGAAATAAAATTATTATTTGCTCTTCGCAACAATCTTTTGTTATTTTGCAAATAACGAATTAATATTTTTAGAATGGGAACTTGCTATTGTTGCGTAGTTTCAGCGCAAAAGCAAAAAAGCAGTCCACGATAAGTGGAAATGTCACAGGTCTCAGCGACAAATGTGTTAAAGTTCCAAGTGCACGTAAGATACAAATACGTTTAGCATATTTTCATTTAGTTATTTTTACATATTTTAAGTTCTCTATAAATGTAAAAGAACTTTATTATATTTAGATGAATCTGATACATTAAACGTATCGTTCCATCGATTATTATAAACGTTTCATTTTACAGCTGTAGGTCCTAATGCTGCCAAGGATAAGGAATATAAAAATCCAGAATACTTTTGTTATCACACAGACTCCTTTGGGGAAGCTGAAGTGGAACTTGCAAAATTTCGATTGCCAGCACCTTCTAACAAAGTACCCTTCCAACAATAAATAAAACAACAAGTTTTTATCTTATTAATAATAATAATAATGTAATAGGTAATACACTACATAGAATAAATTATTTAAACTGAAAAGAAAAAGCATCGAATCGTTTCAATTTTTCGTTTGATTGCATTTAATTGTGAAAAATACAGATTACTGAAATACCGACAGAGTTCAAAATCCACCGATACACTGGCGAACTCTATTCGATTCGAACGATCAACTATGAAATGCTGCAATCATGATAAAGAATACAGAAAATTAGAAACTGTTTCAGTATATCTTCGCTAGATGGCGTCCCAGGTTGTACCATAGAACATCTTGGTTGTAGATGGGGAAATGTCGTTGCTCGTTACGCTGTTCGATGACTATATAAGGTATGTAGCTATAAAGTAATATTCATTTCCATAATGAATGACCGTAGACGAAATTACCGTGACTATAAGTTTATCGCATTCTATAAATTTCAACTGTGTTTCAATTAATATTTATGTACGCGTATTTTCTTCTATTCCACGTATCGTCCCGTACCGGGCACACCGGTATAAAAGCATCAGTCTCGTTTTCACCGAAACAGATCAGTATGAACATCGAACGGTACGGGTCAGGTTATGCGGTAACTCCACCGAATTCCGAAATTTATTTTTCGAATTAATGTCAATTATTTACCTTCTCTACGTGGGGAACGACTGTTTTTGCGCCCGTTCAGTGTACGTATATCCAACGACGGACTCTATTAATGCAACATACATTTCACTCCAGGCAAAGAGACGTATTTATAATTCATTGTATACCTACAGGAGGAGGAAGGTTACAGGTTAATCATTCTAAGATACCTCTGCACGCGAAAAAATGATTTCCATTCTGCAAAGGCATTGTCTGTCGTTGTTTAAGCAAGACATTCCACAGAAGGTCGTTAAATCTGTAAATATTCGAAACAACGCTTCGCGCCTGTTCCATGAAACAAGAATACAGCTCTCGCGCAACAGGCCAAGCGAATGCCTCCCGCAATGTTTTCGGTGAGTAACGATAATTCTTGATAATATATTCTTCAATTATGCGAATAGAAACGTTCCAACGTGAGTACAAAAGATCACCGTATTCAACGGTTGCGCATTTTAAACACCAATTTATTCACACGATTCGCGCGTTCATCGGAGGATTTATTTTTCGTGCAATTCAAAGAAACATTTATTCGAAATCAATTATTCGCGTGGTCGAAACGAGAACACGAGATGCTTCGGAATTTTCGAAACGTGCGTGTTTTTACTCGAGAATATTTTTCTCAACAAATACTCATTATTTTCTGATGAAATATCAATGATACTTTTTACAACTGACATAAAGGAATACCTCGCATAAATTAAGTAACTATTTTATTTCGACGTTCTACGCGTTGATACACTATATCAAATTTAACATTGAATTGAAAATTTTATCATTTTGTTGGGTCGAATTCAGTGGCGACTGAAGGCGCCTCTCGAGTGCAAAGGGTTAACCCTTTGAACTCTGTAGGTTGAAATATTGCACCAGGAATAATATTGAATATTTTAACGAATCAAAGAAATTACCCTACAATTATTCGATTTCTCGCACATTCAAATTTCGCACTAAGGAAAATCAAAGATGTAAGAAACGTTATAGCATTCTTCACATCCGCCAGGAATACTATAAGAATTCGTTGCAGTTGCTGATAGATTACAAAACCGTCTGAAGTGCTAAGGGTTAAGTTTTGTCGAACTCGATTAATTATCGAGCAGTCGTTTCGTTGATTTGTCGGTTGAACACTCTCGAATAAACAGCATTGTACGGACGTCGAACGGTAGACTGGTTTACATGACAATCGGCACGCACGCTGCGAGCCTGTTAAAGGGGCAGTCGAGTCGGTTCCACGTAACGGCATTGTGTGCTCAGATTCTCGTATTGACAATCATATCGATGAAGTTGTCTTTAGTCTCGGTCGGTTTACAGTGTATCTCCGTCTGCGTTCCGCGGTGCGTGACTGCCTTCAGAACCACCGTAACGGATCTGCTGATTTCCGAATGGATTCCTTCTTCCGTGCTCTACGGAATTTCAAATCTCGCATTTCCCTTGTACATCTCGCGGGGCGGCATTGAAAACGAACTGCACGAAACGTCAGTTGATCTTCAATGAATCTTCCTCGGTTCCATAGAAGTCACCGTGGATAACGGGCACGATAAATACCGGCGTCAGAGTGTGATCGGATCCATCTTGTTCCGAGCTGATCGGCGATAAATCGTTCCCTGGCGCAGCCATGTTAACGCATCGTTTACCGTTAACGAGATATCTCGTTTTCATACAAACACTCTTAGCAATTACAGCATTCAAGGAAACATTAACCCTCTATAAGCTCGTGTGACTTTGAAGTCGCACATCAATATACCGAGTTAAATTGACGTATTTAATTTTTTATTGCAAAATGACAAACGACATTAATAATTGACCAACTTAAACTTTTGTACACACAGGCGTTTACGTTCAACGTCATTATAATTTCAAAGTTACAGAATACATTCGTTTCAATAAAATTGTTGAAACTATTGAATACATTGTTAATTTGTGTTCATACGTTGATATTTATTAATTTCATACTGCAAAAATTTTCTTATAATCACGAAACAAAATTCGGCCATAGGGAGTTAAATTCCATTAGAACTAATTGTCCATTTAAAATATATTACATAATATGATACCTGAGTTTGTTTTATAGATAGCGATACAAGTGGATGTCACTGGAAATCCAGAATTGAATTTCCTGATAATTAGCCGATGCGTTAAGATTCTCTCGTTGTTATCGGAACAGGCATAGGTACACATACACACACGTGCATATTTTCATTTCCATGACAATTGAATAACCGCGAGGGTCTTCCTATTGTCCGTCCTATTATGCACGCACCTTTAGAGCTTTTTTTTGGACACTCCGTTTTTCCCTGTTCTGTAACTCTTCCGCTGATAAATATTTAACGGGTTTTTCTGCTTGAGAATCGAGGAGATAACGAACACTGTATGTCGTATAATTTTTTGGTCGTAAACAAAATACATTGCATACGCGATGAGAGACCGTAGAACACAGATATCAGACCCGTGTGTTTGTCCGCACGATTAATTAGAGTAATTACGGTTTACGCAATCCGATCGTCTTCTCTCCTTTTTGCTGAATGTTTTTTTCTTCGACGAAAGGTTCTGTGTTTTGCTCTCGCGAAAAACAGGCTGGCAACAGGAGGTCGGAGTTCCTCGCGTAGTAAATGTCATTCCGTTACAGTAACGAGCCGTAAACGTACGACGGGCACGTGTCGAGATTAACCGTTTGCACTCGAAGTTTTTTTTACTGACATTACTAGTAGCTTGATGGAATTTTAATAGAGAAAACATATTAACCCTTTGTAAGCTCATGTAACTTTGAAGTCACAAATGTAACACATATCAGTATATTGGCATCTTGTTGATTTACTTCATTTTGCACCGGAAGTGGCGAATAAAATAAAGTAATCAGTTAACTTTAACTTTTGTACGCTCAGGCGTGAAAGTTTAACGTCATTGTAACTAGAAAGTTACAAAATATATTCGTTTGATGGAATTATTGACAGTATCGAACGCGTTGTTAATTTATGTTCATATGTTGATATTTATTAATTTCATACTGCATAGATTTTGTTATAATTACGAACAAAAATTCGACCCATAGAGGGTTAACACTAAAACTACCGAGCACTTCAATTGACTTTTGAAAATTTCGCTATAGAAACTCCAAGTGTGCATCTGTTCAGACTTCAATTGATTTACAATTCAATTCGCGTAGTGCTAAATGAATTTCTTTAATAATTTCTCAGAGAAACGCTTGCTACCTTTCTAATAATTGCAGAAAGAAGACATCAGGCATGGGTCATTTGACCTCTCTGGTAGTTTTAGGGTTAACACATTGCGTACCGACTAATTTTCAGGAAACTGAATTGTGCGGATGGCAATTTTCACTGAGGTCAACTTATATCACTATACATAGAAAAACTCGGATATATTGTTATGTAATATATTTGAAATAGATAATCAACTCGAATTAAATTTTATATTTTTTTCAATGCTGTGCTAATTAGCGAAGTTGCATAGCTGAGTGTCTATATAAAAACGAGATTTCTCGTTACCGGTGCGCAATGTGTTAACACATTGAGCGCCGGCCCCGCGATAATGCGGGATTTTTAGTCTATCGTTTAATTGCTAATTCATGTAATATTTTAGATATGTGTAACACAAATCGAAAGTAAAATTTACAAATTCGAATTCCTTATTCTCGTCCGTAAGTTAGAAATTTTCGTTTAATCGACATTTTAAAATGTATCGACATAATCACCGACACTCGCGTTTTTAGTAGTTGAAATTTAGCCGGCGTTCAATATGATAATATGAAATTATTCGATTGTATTATTATTTCTAATATAGAAATGTTGAAACAAACAAAAAAATGCAATGTCATTTTGACTGTAAAGACTGGTTGATGGGTGACGCGTGATTAGCTAGAGTACACGAGCGCGATAAGGACGTTGAATTTCAAATTGCGCCATGTTCGGCATTCGTCTCGGCTGACAGCAATTATTCAAGTTCAACTTTGAACGTTTAACCCGTTGCGGACGAACGTCATCATTCCAGCGAGATCAGATGTTCACGTTTGGAAGACTAAGTCGCGAACAACTGATTTAATTAGTGAAACAGCAAAAGAGCAGCGCGTAGTTCTCTGTTTTCCTATTAATTAAGTAATTGATATTTAATTGAACTTCATCCGTCGAAGACTTTGCACATTTCAAAGTATCTCCGCCCACGAAGGGTTAACCCCTTGGCCTATGATTTCTTTCTCAACTCTGATCGATAAGGCGACTTTGTCATTAATAATTTATTGGAAAAAGAGAAAAATCCTAAGCATATGTTATGCCTATATATCCTTTTAACACATTGCGTACCGGTAACGGGAAATCTCGTTTTTATATAAAGACACTTAGCTATGCGACTTCGCTAATTATCACAGTATTGAAAAAAATATCAAATTTCATTCGAATCGATTATCTATTTAAAATATATTACATAACAATATGATATCCGAGTTTTTCCATGTATAGTGATATAAGTTGACCTCAGTGAAAATTTCCGTCCGCACAATTCAGTTTTTTGAAAATTAGTCGGTACGCAATGTGTTAAGTATAATAGTTGATTATAGAAGAATAATATTTACTTTCAATTCGAATGAACTGAGTAATATTTGTTGAATCATGTTGAAAATCTTCACCACGAGTCTCACTCGTTGTTGTAGGGCAAGGGGTTAAAGAGTCTTCGGCTGCAAAGGGTTAACACGTTGAGTGCGGCGCCGATTTTGCTATACTTTCCGCTCAGGCGGCAGCGCGCGAGCATTTGATGCCGAACGCTAAATTAGACCGCGCGACACAGCGCAACAGACGATTCCTTTTTTTCGCTGTTTCTTTTGTCGTTTGCACTGTGACAATGGTGCAGGCAACGCACATGTATACAATGTATAAACGTAAGATAATGGGGTGGGGAATGCCAAAGAGACAAAAGTGCGAACACCAGGAAACGATCAGTCTGAAAAAGCCACGAGAGTACGCTAAATTTTAACGTAAATTTTTTAATTGTCATTAATAATTTAACCCTTTAAAATGCTGGTCTCATGCACCGATGTCGACTAAACGAGAAGTTCGCTGTCAGTCCCTAGAATCCACACCGCCCAAACGAAAAATCTACTGTCAGTCCCCAGGGATTGACGCCGCTTGAACGGAAAGTTCACTGTCAGTCCCTAGGAACTGACGTAGCACTCGACGTGTTAAACTTGCATTCCAGCGTTCTAAATATCCGGATGTTTTCAGATCGGCGGACACCGGCGCGCGAACGTTGCATTCCGGTCCACAGCTCTCGCTGATGAGCAAAGATGAGACCCGTGAATTGATGGCTCTGTGGCCGGACATCCTCCGGGACCTCACTGACGGCCGCCATTTTGACCCTATCAATGATAAATGGATAACGAAGGTGCTCCCCTGAGATTCTCTGCGAAACGAACATTCGAAAATGAATGTACATCCACGGGCGCTAATGGAAATCCGTGCTCGGGATTATTAACACGTTCCGTGCCACGTGTACCACGTATAGTACACGCCAGTGTTTGTAAGAAAATATTTTTAATAGATATATATGGTCACGATCGACGGTATACGTTACAAAGCAGTGAAAACGTAAAGAAACAATATATGAAAATATATAAAAATCACCAGAAACTTGAATATAAGTTATTATTTTATTGAAAAACTCGATACAGTTGATAAGCAGAATATAACCGAAGTTTCTGTGGCACGGAACGTGTTAACCGTTTGAGTACCAGAGGCTTTTAAAAAGAAAAACACGGTTGAAGAAAAGTCGAGCAGCGCGATAGCGCTTTCCGAATGGCACATGAAAAGATCCAAACGGCCCGATAGCGCTCCTTCTGTTTCGTGTCGAGAAAAGCCAAGCAACGCGACAGCGTTTGCCTTTATCTGTGTTGACACATTACGTGCCGGCTAATTTTCAGAAAATTGAATTATGCGGATGGAAATTTTCAGTGAGGTCAACTTGTGTCGCTGTACATAGAAAAACTCAGATATCATATTGTAATATATTTGAAACAGATAATCAATTCGAATGAAATTTTATATTTTTCTCAATGCTATGGTAATCGGCGGAGTTGCATAGCTAAGTGTCTTTATAGGAAAACGAGATTTCTCGTTACCGGTACGCAATGTATAATACTATTATATATAATATACTGTATATACAATAGTATTATTTATATATATAGTTATATATAATAATAATAATAATAATAATAATAATAATAATAATAATAATAATTTATAATATGTAACAAGGAAATGCAAAATGCATTACTTGGATTACTTATATACAAAGTAGTATCGACAAGAGAAGCCAAGCAACGTGACAACATTTGTCTTCATCTGTGTTAATATTATATATATTATTATCAATATTATTAATATTATTATATATATATATATAATAGTATAAGTATATATAGTTATATATAGTTAGTATATAATAGTATATAATATATAATAGTATTGCCTGAAAAGTTGAGCGCGTTTTGTTTGCGAGTGCGCCATACAGTTGAAATGCGCTAGGTGTTGTTTTCTCGACATGAAATCTGAAGAGCGCGAAAGCGGCGCACGGGACTCAAACGGTTAAGAGAAATGATTGCACGAGTCCACGTGACACGCAGACCCTTTTCCCGTGTAACTACAGAGAGTGACCTTTTCGCAGATACAGTTACGGGGAGTGCGGTTCCCTTTCGTTAGAGGCATATTCTAATATTATGCATGAGAGAAGACGGCAAAAGATACAATATGTCTAATCGGCAGTCAAGTTTTTCTATGTAAATCGTGACAGATATTTCAATAAGCGGCGATAACGCGCGCAGGTAACGAACAGTAGTAACGACGCGCCTTTGTTGACCCCGACCCACGAACCCGTTAAGCCTAGCCTCTCGAGGTCATTACGAATTAAGACAGCGCGTGTACCGATCGCTCGCTCGAAGAGTAGACCTGAATTATTTAACGAGAGTCTCTTTGTTATTTTTAGGTGTTGCAATACAATGTTCCTACCGGGAAGAAGATCAGAGCGTTAGCGCTGATATACACGTACAAGATACTGGTCCCGCAGGATCGGGCGACAGAGGAGAACCTGCGTTTAGCGCGAATACTCTCATGGTGCATAGAAATAGTATGCATTTCACTTAAATAAACCATCGAGTTGTCGTCTTCAGGCTTTCGGGAATATGTTTTCCCCGGGATGGCACGGTTGCCGGCTTATATTGCATATTCATTTATTCTAATATCGTAATTACTCGTACAAACTAACGACACGTTCTTTCATTATAGTTACAGGCATACCTGCTAATGTGCGACGACATACAAGACCGATCGGAGATCCGGCGCGGTCAGTTGTGTTGGTACCTAGTAAACGATCGTGGTTTGCCAGCGATATCCGATTGTTTGATGGTAGAAATGTGTGTATACAAGCTTTTAAAAATACATTTAAAATCGCACGAATGCTACGGAGTCCTTCAAGATCTGTTTTTAGATGTAAATATGAATTTCTTTCGGAAATCACGAGATGGGGTTACCGCGAATTAACACGTTCTGTGCCAAACCGTCTTTTGAAGACATTCCGTTCAGGCATTGTATTGTTTTCTTTCTGGAGTATGCCTTACAATGATTAAAATAATGCAAAATGCATAACTGTCAAGAAAAGGGTGTATATTTTAAGACGCATAACACAACAAAGCAATAAATTAATTTTTTTAGGAATTATTTTGACAAATATCTGGCTGAACATTACTCTGCCGAGCGAGTCGCATCACATGATATTTTTTTATGTCTATATTAGTTTAAAATAAAACATTTTAGTTGAAATATATTTAATATTATATTTATGTGACAAGTTTGTATATAATCAGAAAGGGATGTTACGGTGAACTTTGTTAAAACATGGCAAACATAAACGTGGTTTATCCACACAATTATTCTAGAATGTTGCAACTTTTACAGTACAGTTTCTTGCCGATTGGGAACCGCATTTTTTAACGTTAAAACAAATTGCAGTAAAAAAACCATCGCAGTATTAAGATGCCCATAATTGACTGCATAATACATTTTAATAAATTCTTCATTTTACAACGACAATACCCAATGGCTTGAACGGAAAGTTTCATTTAAAACGGAACGTGTTATCGGACGTTACGCGCGAATGTTACGCACAGTTGTTCTATTAATTGCAGACCACGTATAAAACCGTGATGGGACAGATTCTGGACATGTACGCGACCGTACGGAAACCCGGCGAACAGATCGACTTCAGTCGTTTCACGATGGACCGAATGAACAACATTATGAAACACAAGACAGCTTACTACACGTTCGTACTGCCAGTCCAGGCTGCTATGCATTTTGTAAGTTCAACTAAAACTAAAATTAAACAATGTAACCCCATTGTTTTGCTGTGTCTTTTTACTTTTGAAGGAACATTGATAATTCATAATACATTTTCTGTGATGTCACAGGTGGGCATTAAAGACCCAGAATTGTTTAGACAAGCGCAGACTATTCTGATAGAAATGGGCCAGTATTTTCAAGTGCGAGACGATTATTTAGATTGTTACGGTGACAAGGAGGTCACCGGCAAAAATAGTACAGATATAGCGCAAGGGAAATGCACGTGGCTTATCGTCGTGGCATTGCAACGTGCCACGCAGAAACAAAGGAAGATTCTAGAAGTTGGTATACCCTCGATAAATCTTTATCGCGACGGTCAACGGAATATTATTCATTTCAAATGATTCGCAGGAATGTTACGGTATAGCGGACGAGGAGAAGGTGAATCGTGTTATGCAGGTTTACGACGAGATAGGCTTGCAAAACACCTTCTCCATTTACGACCAAGAAACGTACAATTTATTGCACACGCATATACAACAAATATCACGAGGACTTCCGCACGATATATTTTTACAGCTCCTTAAACTGGTGTCGAAGAAACAAATGGAGAGGTAATTGTTCTCACCGGGAAGGATAGGCTGATTTATTCTCAAGTCAGAGGGATATTTTTATATATTACAAATTTCTTCATCGGAGATAGGACTAATGTCGGGTGCATTTGAATTTTTCCTTTTTAACAACGAAAAACTTGGTTGATAGCGTTAAATCGTTGCGAACCAGGCAATAATGCATCACAATTACTGTTAAGTATCCGGTATGCAGTGATAAATGACGAAGAAATGAATTCCACGTTAGTAGAGTATTTTATATGATATAAACATGTGTATGTATATATGTATATGTATATGTATATGTATATGTATATATATATTTTTACAGAATTTTATTTTTCCTCTATAAAAACATTTGTACGAATCTGATATATTCATGTTAACATTAAAAAAATAAATGTTAAATCTAGTTGAATAAACCTTTCAATTTCATTGCCTAATGTTTCCTTTTACGCCCTAGACTTTGCTTCATTATCTTCTTTTTATATCCGTACGGTTGGCGTTTCTTCACATTTCGACGAATCTTCGAACGTACGATTTGTTTTAATTCTTGTCTCAGATTTTTAAACTCCTCGTGCGGCACGAACTCTCCGCAGAAAAACGTTACTGCGTCTGAAATTTTCGAAATGTTCAGCTTTGCATAAGCGATTATTCTCTTATTGTTATTTATACGTTTCACATTCTGTATACCATTGAAACGTGGATCATCGGTGTCGAAAAAGAACTTGTTCGTTTTCTTAGGTACTACCGGCGATTGCTCTGTTTTTAAATCAATTTCTTCATCGTTATTTTCGTTGTCAGACGAGTCGTATTTGAATGGATTTTTTCCATTGAAATTGAACTGTAATTGCTTATTTTTGGGCGAGTCTAATCTTACCGCTTTATATTCTTGCTGTTCTGAAAGTGTATAAAGAAAATTTAGAATGCATATGCTTTTAGTTGTAGGCTAATTCAGCGAAACAACCAACCTTTGTCAATGGTTTCCTCTTTTCCAAATGTTTTTAATAAACTGAACTCGCCGCCTTTCTGTAAAGTTTTTGTTAATGACTCTGATACAGAGAAATAAATTTCTTTTGATACTTCGACGGGTGTGCTTTCCACATTATTTTCAACATTATCCTTGGCTTTCTTCTTCCTTTTCACTTTCTTCGTATCCAGTTCTACATTCTCCGAAACAATCTCATACTCTTTGTGGTCTCTTTCGGTAGGATCATACCTGATCATTTGTTTCCTAAAATGTTAAAAGAACGTGAAACAATGACACAGAAACGTTTATTTCAGTCTCTTTTATGTTATCCATTCTTTCGTATCTGTACTTTGCAAACTTTGGATCCTTATTCAGTTCTTTATTTTTTAACGTGCTCTGAATCGGTACTTTCAAGATATTTTCTAGGATATCTAATTGCATCTCCTTTTCCTTCTGCAAATCACTCTCACTACTATCTTTTGGTGCATTATCTGTCTCAAGTTCATGATTGTCATCCATGAAACGTTCGTCTATCTTAAATCTCGCGTCGTTTCCTAAAATCATATTATTCCCCTAAAGCAAACATTACTTCGTTAGTAACACTTTTCTCTTCTGAACTGTTTAGATAGAATATCTATTACCTTCTTGTGATTTTCAAAATTACTAATATTCCATGCGGATCCATCTTTATCGTCATCATCGTCAACAGTATCATCGAATAGCTCACGCTTTCTCTTCTTCCCTACTTTTGTGATTTTTGGCTCTTCAACTTCATCGATATCATCATCAAATATTATTTTATTATTATTATTCGATTTGTTATCCTGTAAATATAGAATTAGAAATGCTTTGATACACAGGTATGAGAACAAAGTGGGGTAATGTTCAGATTTTGTTGTTTACCAAATTCTTTAATGCATGTTTTATTGCCAATTCCTTAGCTTTAAATAATTTCTTCTTCTGCTTCAACGACTCCAACCGTTTCTTTTCAGATTCATTCATTTCATTCGCGGTTATATTTGTCATAGTTAAATGGTTCAATTAATACACCAATACCTGCTGTACATTCAACATAATTTTTAGGTTACACTGAAATCAGAAAAAAGTGAAACAACTATTTTTTTCCTCCACTTACCCGTTCCACTATCGCAGTCTTTATCAATGGGCATCCCACAACAACAATCAATGTGGATTCGACCAACAATAATATTCGTACTATCTGTATATATGTATATACATATGTAAATATCTATTCCATGAAAAATAAAGAAAATTAATTATATACGTGTCATTTGTAATACTCAGACCCTCACAAATGATCTCAAAACCTATAAAACAAATTAATTTAATACATATTCATACATTGATTGGCATAGACACATGTGCCAAATTAATTTCGACGGCGCGGTTTCTTCGCGAGTCTTCCCATGGGAATCCCGCTCTAACGGGTATCATGGGAGAAGTTTCGAACTAATAATCTCGCTCAGTCTAAAAGGACTCAGAGCTCAAGAAACTCCTAGAACCCCCATGAGAAACCCCTCGGACCCCCATAAGAAACCCCTGGAACTCCCATAAGAAACCTCTCGGACTCCATGAGAAACTCCTTGAAGGAACCCCCATAAGAAATCCCTTGGAACCCCATAAGAAACCCCTCGGACCCCATGAGAAACTCCTTGAAGGAACCCCCATAAAAAACCC